ATTAAATTCATTTCGAGAATACTTCGGTCATGGGTGACCTTGAATAGGAAGTTTAGATCACTTTGGAGTCTTCTGATCCAGAGAGGTTGAAGACCGTATTTATGATATAGTTCTAAGTATGAACCCTGGATGCCATCACTTCTGGACAAAGATCTAGTTAACCGTTTCTGAATGCTTTCTAGTTTCTTTCGGCTATCCGAGGGCATTATACCGAAGAAAATTGAGCAACCATCTAGGAGAGGCAAAACGTACATTTTGAAAAGTTGGATTTTTAGTGCATTTAATGTGAAATTTTTACTAATGAATCCACATTGGCGAGGGGCTTTTGGTGATATTTGTTGGACGTGGGGGATAAATCAAGGGTATTTGTATAGCTGAAACCTAAATCCTTTACCGATTGGGCCTCTGTTATTTCATTATACTTGAATATTATGCGGGGAAGTTTTTGTTGGCCAAAAACCAGGAGATGGCATTTTTCGGGTGAACAGGGCATCTGCCATTGACTACTCCATTCGCTGAGTTTTCTGTGGTCAGTTTCTATTGTTCAGTGAATATTGGCAGCTGTGTCCCCGTTATATGAATATGCAATTTTAAGGTCGTCCGCATATAAACACGTCTTACCTGATGCTGATATGGACGATAAGTCGTGATTTGTTGTTTCCTTCTTCAATTTTTCTGTCCACTTCTCCATTCCTAAGAATTGCTGGCGGAAACCGAAACAACCCGTTAAACTATTAGACTTTTAACTGTTTGACAGGGGATGAAATTATATAGTGAAACACTCATCTTCACAGCCAATATGGTAACACTGCTGCTTAATTCACCATATTTTACATCCCCACTGATGTCAGGTGGTGGCGTAGGGGCATATGCTCTTGCGTTTTCGCTTAGATGTGAGGCTAAAGCCTGGCTCTTGGCGAAGATTTTACATAATTTCCAAAGGTCAGATTATTTCCTTTCTGTGCGTTATTTTTAATAGCCGTCAGCGTGGCTGTTTTTAAAATAGAATAGGTTTATTATAGCACCCCTTGGGCACTGTCAGTCTCCCTTGAACACAGAAAAAAAACCTAAAACAAACTCATCCATTTCGACTGCACTTTGACATCATTTGTTT